CACCTTCGACACAGACACCCCTCCTGCCCATGTCCTGGAAGGATTCATCGGCTCAACACCTCTCAGACAACAGCATGAAGCTGATTATTGTCCCGACCCTAAAGAAAAAAGCTGAGACGTTCAGGGAACGGACATTCCCTTCAACAAACTCCTGACAGAGTATCAGGTGCAAAACCTATGGCTCAAAGGCTTTGCTGTCATATTTAGGCTCCCAGAGCGCAAACGTTCTGATTATTTTAGGATGAAATGAAAGTGTTGGGCCTGAGGGATGATAGTTTATTGCAGAAAACAGCATTGATGCATGCAGGCCCCTCAAATCATAAGATAATGGCAAGAAAAGTAGAAATCACAGAAAAGGCCAAGACATTAAAAAGGTCCTTGAAGGCTTTTATTTCAAGCACCAACGAACCACGTAGTAAGTGTGCTAAAATATACATTATGTGTAAACTGTTTGTTTCTCGCTCACTTTTTCATATAAAACTGTCAATTCTATTTTTCTTTTACATTTTTATACCTTCCAGTTAGGCCTGTCGTGATAAACAATAAATCAATTAATTGCATGATAAATGAAAATTATCAACTTCATTTTCATTTATCTGTTTTATCGTTTCTTTGTGTCTCTCTTTCTACTGAAGACACTGGACGACAAAAGGCTCAACTCCGGTGATCTTCACTGACCCCTCCCTTTCTCTTTAAAATCTGTTTTAATCGTCCAAAATCACGTTTTTGGATCGTTAAAAGCAGCTAAGCTGAGAAGCTAAGTTATGAGCTAAGCTAACGGGCCGACCTTGGGAATAATCCTCAGTCTTGTCAAAGCGCCAAAATTCACGGTTGAAACCCGTGCCTTTGTGTAAAAAGTTTTTCTCTGCAAAAAGAAGCTGAGAACTTGTTTACTGATTTTTTTTAAAGCTTTGTGTGAAAAATGCTATGCTAAAGAACTCAAACCACACCGAGTGTCTGCCATTTTGAGAACCGAAGAGAGACTGCCCATGTCACGTCAAGGGGCCTCCCTCTCATTTTTCCTAAAGAGACACGCTGCTCGCTCCTTCACTATCCATCCTTCAGTTCAAACAGTCTTATACTGCTATCTGGTGGTTGAAAAAGGTACTACATGCAAAACAAATTAAATACTTCTTAAATTTGACAATACTTACTAATTATTGTCAAATTTCAAACAATATTAATGTTTATTGAAATAATTTCAGAGACAATTAATCGCCCAGCAAAATTTGTTATCGTGACAGGCCTCCTTCCAGTCAATATTCTGACTTCAATAAATGCTTTCAAGGATGTCCCGTCAATCTGATGTGACGGTGACGCTACACAAACTCACCTTCATCGTAATTACATTACATTCTTCGGTACTTTGAAATATTCAATAAGGGTCAAAAAGTCATGTTAAAAAAATCTGCCTAGTCATGTTTCAGCTGAGGTTCAGCTTTCAGGTATGGTCATAAAATGTGAGTAATTAGAGAAAATGCCACCCAAACTGGAATTAAAACAGTCATTTTGTAAAATAATGGAGTGAGCCACCAATTAATGTCTGTCTCTGATGATTAAACTTTTCATTGTTCGACTGAGCTGCGAGGGAAAAAACGGATTTGTTGCCAGATTCGGCTGCTGGGCTTGATTCAGTGAGAAGGAACGGATCCAGAGGCAAGGATGGCAGATTCATCAAAACGTACATCACCCAAAACATTTCCTCTGACAGGTACACAGACGTTTCTATGCCAACAGGTGTGGAGTTCTACATCAAAAGTACTGCACTGACATTTTGCCAGAGGTGTGTTTTCAGGGTTCTCAGAGGATAAGTTTGAATACTGAAACAAAGTAAAGTAGAGAAAAGTCATTTCCTGTGAAAATACAGTGTGAATGTTTATATTGCTGAATGTTTTTTTGCTGCTGAAGAAGCTGAAAAAGTTTAATCTCTAACCTGGTAGAATTTGAACAGCTGACAATAGCTGAACGCAGGAAAATAAAAGTGGAAAGCTGCAGAAAAACGAAAGAAAAGTATAGAGAAAGCTGAATAAAACTGAATAAGAGAGGCTAAACAGATTACAAAAAATCTTAAATTAAATTTTTTTAAATGAGTAGGAAAAAAAGCTTAAATTAGCAGAAAAATACAACAAATGTAGCTGAAAAGCAGAAAAAAAAGCTGAATTTAGCAGACAGAAGCTGAAAGGAGCATAAAATGATGAAATCAGCTCGGATCATGCTCACAACACGGACAGATGAACGGAGAGTTTTTACAATTCCACTTTTCGCTCCGTGACAGAAACAAAAAGACAAAAATGGCTGCCATGTTTTACAGATGTTGCGGTACAGTTTGGGGTGGTAGTAGCTGAGAGTCATCCCCAACTTATACTACAAGCACCAACTGATTGCACAAAATTTGTTTAAAAGTTAGCTTTTAAATATTGGAGTCAGCGGTGCATGTCTGTCAGCAAAATATCATATAATGCACTGGACACATTTTATTAGAATGTGCAGACATCTCTGAAGGGACATCTAGAACTGGTGAAATGATGAAGTCAATGAAATTCAAAACATTTCCACTTTAGCTGATAAAATGGGTTTTTAAAACAGTTTTGTATCATTGAGTGAATAAATAAAAGCTGGTGATGTTCAGTGCCATCTTGCAGGGATTTTGAACGGTTGCTCCACAGATTGAAGGTTGGAGGTTGCAAGGAGAAACAGGATCAGGATCTCCACGAGGACTTTATTTTAACCACATGACGGATTAAAGCGCTGCGTTTTGAGCCCATAAGTGGGCTGTGGGAGTGGATTATGTGTTATGAGAGCATGAGAGTGGAGTGTCATTGAACTGTGATTGAATACCCTTCTGAAACCTGCCTACACGCGTCAGAATTCAAGAAAATTGATGCCGTGTAGCTCAAAATGATCCATATTTGAAGCGTGGCTCTGGCATGTGTTTGAACAGACCTGGGGCCTTCGAAGGCTGACGCAGGGTAGGTTTAGGCGACCCGGAGGGGAAGGAGGGAGGGTCCGACTCAGGATACGGTGAGCTGACATGGGAACACTGCCAAATATTTAAAGTAGATATAACAATCTCCCAGTGAATTTTATTAAATTATAACGCTGCAGGTACAACTGTTTAAAGAAATTGTACACCAAAGTTTCTTTCAAAGTAAGATTAGACATGACACAATTGGCTGATTGATGGATGAGCCACACGAGCGGCATGGATTGTTTATTTAAAATAAATTATTTTAAATTATTTAGCACCTGCTGCACCTGTGTGCAGCCCACAGGTGCAGGGAGAAGCTCCCTCCGCAGCCTGTCATGATCTCCTCTCTGCCACCCACACACTTCTGCTCTGTGCTGAAGCGGGTTTGTGAAGGGTTAACCCTTTGCTGTCCAGATGCACCGATCGACTTTTGTCTTCCAACTTAAAATTCAAAGTATGGCGCATCGTAAAATCACCATAATCACAAAATATAAAAGTGTTAAAAGTTATTTTTTATTATTTTAGAACTTCTATGTTCAGTTGTTTCAGTGTAATTGATCAAAAAGTACATTTCTGCTCCGTGCTGCATCAGCTGTGTGAAGTGTTAACCCTTTGCTATCCTGCTGCATTTCTCTTATTTATACTGTAATTGTCACCATATAAGTCACACCTTTCTGCATAAATTAGCATGTCTGCGACTTATAAGGCTAAGCAAAGTATTTATGTTTTTTCCCCCATATACTTAAAAATTTTTGGCAGAGATCTGACGATTTCACTCATTCTGACATGGAAATATTGAACACTACCATTTTCAGCCACTAGAGGGCCCTCGTCTAATATGGCAAGCCAAGTGTCTCATTAATTAATAGGTAAAAGTGGCTATTAATGAGACACTTGGCTTGCCATATTAAGCCACCTCTGTCTCGTTGCAGAACTCCTGGAGCAAACTTCAAATCAGCTTCATTTTGCTGCGTCCCCCCAGGCGAAATGCAGCTGATTTGACCATCAAAATCCTTTTATTAAGGAAAAGTTCAACTGAGAAACGCCTTTGCTCTAATTTTGAGCAAACAACTAATTGTTTTTAAATGTTAATCTTGTTCAAGTCCTCCCGTTTACGCTACGGCGGCCGCCATTTGGCAGCCAATCGATTTTTGGCACAACACCGGGCCACATTTCCGGGTTGTCAGATGTGACACATAACAGATGCGACTTGTACGACAAAGCCATGTATTTATGTGCTTTTTCCACTTCATTAGACATATTTGGACCGATGTGATTTATATGGCGGTGCGATGTGTACGGTGGACAGTACGGTAAATTAAATTTAAATACTGTAATATTTTAAATAAACAATAATGCTGCATGGATTGTTTATTTAAAATATTACAGTATTTAAATTTAAATTGTTTATTTACACAGAAGGGGTATTGAGTGTGAAACTTGAACTTGGACTACTGTATCTCCACTTCATGTTTTTTCACTTATCGCGGGGGTGTGGTCTCCTAAACCCCCGCGATAAACGAGGGACTACTGTATTTTCCTTCTTCACATAGATCTGGTCTATTCTAAAAAAAAAAATCAACAAATGTTAATCATTAGATATTTGTAGTTTTATCATTTTACCCCCACCAGAAATGTGTAAATTTTCAGTTGCAGTCAACGTGTTGGAGACCAAGTGGATCAAGAGCCGTGTGTTTGTGTTTTGAACGACACACTTTTGAAAATTACAGCCTATAATTGTGTGCACGGTTTGAAATACTGTATTCTTCAAGTTCAAGTTTCTTTATTGTCCTTTGCATCACATGTGGAACATGAGGTGGAACGAAATTGTGAACTCAAGATCCTCGTTACACCCCAAAATAGCAAAATATAAAGTATTAAAAGAAACAGTATACAAGATAAACGCTAAACACTAATAATGTAAATATAAATGATAATCTTGGCCGCGCACATTATTTTACTGCCTACCTCCATCCTCATTGAAAAAAAACCCAACAAAAACACCCCGGGTCATGTGGTGTGTTGGACTCACCGGCAGCTGTTTTTCCAGACAGTTGTTGAAGTTTTTGACTTGGTTGGGCTTCAGTTTCTTGAGGGGGATCCGTGTTTCCCCGATAAACTCGTTGTGGCGAAATTTGTCCTCATCACAAACTGAGATCCTGAATACAGAACAGAATAAATGCAGGGAAACATGAAGAACTGGAGCTCAGATTAGTGTTTCGCACCAAAACAAGGCTTTTAAACAATAAAAGCTGCTGTTCTCCAACTGAACATCACCCCTTCAGGGATTTAATTCTAACCAAAAGCTTCACTTTAGAGCTAAAATGCAGTCATTGTGCAGAGAAGAAGCACATGAGACCTTTGTCAGACCCAGTCAGAATGACAAGAAGCCATGGGATAATTATACGTTAGGAGTCATTCAACCGTGCACGGGCCAAAAGACTCGAGAACTAAAAAAACAAGAGAAACTTTTTGATGAGAAATCACTTCATTTAGCTGATTAATACCATTCCTTCTGATTACGTCAAGACCAGATGAGAATTTTATCTTGAACTTGGTGTTCTCGTCTCTTTTACTCAGCATCACTTGGAATGAGTCGATCCTGAGAAGGATTCGACCCATTAAATGATTGGTTTTATGAACCACTTTGTGCAGAAACACAGGTATGAATCTTTAATGTAAGACATTAGAATTTACGATTGGTTTTAAAAGTAAAAACTCGTTGCTAAAGTCGAAGGATCTAGAAGCTCTTCTGGGTCTTTGAACAAGTTCTTCTGATGCTTCAGGTACAGAATCTTTTCTTGGGTTTGAACAAAAGGTCAAGGTTCTTTATCGTCATTGGCATCACATGTGGTACATGAGGTGGAACAAAATTGTGTACACAGGGTCCCTGTTACATCCAACAATAGCAAAAATATAAATTGTAAAAAGAAACCGTAAATAAGGATATAAGATATAGACTAAGATATATGCTTAGCGAACGCCCAACAATACGTTAAAAGATCTAAGATATACGGTAATAGTGCAAAAACAATACGCTGAATAACAGCAGCACGAACATGAGTCTTTGTGGATGGATGAGTACAAATGAATGAATACAGCAGCATGAAATGATCAGCAGCATGAAATGATCAGCAGCATGGATAATCGGCAGCACATATCGACAACCAAAGCTGCATTACAGTGATTTTTTTTCTCTCAGTGATTATCCTGGTTAGAGATTCATGAGTCTAACAGCTTCAGGGTAGAAGCTGATCCTCAGTCTATTGGTTCTACACTTAATGCTCCTCAACCTCCTGCCTGAGGGGAGCGGGGCAAAAAGTGTGTGCTGGGTGAGTGTGGTCCTTCATGATGCAGGTGGCCCTCTTCTTGCTACGAGTAAAATTAGGAGTACTACATGTCCGTCCATCCATCTATTATCTTTACCCGTGTCTTCCTTTTTGGGTTGCGGGGGTCGCTGGTGCCCATATCCTGCAGTCACTGTGTGAGAGGCGGAGGACACCCTGAACAGGTCTCCAGTCCATCACAGGGACACATAGAGACAAACGACACAGACAACCATTCACTCTCTCACTCACACCTATGTTTTTGGTCTATGGGAGGAAACCGAAGTACCCGGGGGAAACCCATGCATGCATGGAGGGAACATGCAAACTCCAACCAGAAAGGACCCCGGCCGGGATTCAATCCGGCAACCTTCTCACCGAGAGGTGGCAGCTCTAGCCGTACTGGAATGACCAGGGCCTCTGAAGAGTTGTGGACCCTCTTGAAAGTGTTACGACTCGGACAGAAAATACCAAAGAATCAAAGGATCAGCGAAGTTGGAGAAGGATCGAAGCTGGTCAAGAAAAAAATGGGTCAACTGGACCCGATACTGAAGAGGTTCCTCTTTCCTCAGTGGACTCTGGTACAGATTAACTCATACCTGCAATTATTTACACATTTGATATTTAAGTATAATTTTTATTAATGTTGGCATACAGATCTAAAGACAACTTCCCCAGAATGCAAGATTTTGCAATGATTATTTTATATTTCATGCCAACAAGCTGCTGTTTCACTTGTTTTTACATTCTTAGCATCCATGAGTCATGAAAACGAGGACGACTATCCATTTGAAGGAGACAAGAGGAAGAGAAACCAAACCAGAAAGGCCATCCATGCTGCAGAACCATCTTACAGGAAGAAGGCAAAGAAGATGGAGGAAAAAGGGAACACAGACAAAGTTACGAGGTTTAATGTTTAATGTGTTGTTTGGCTTCATGTGAGATGTTTAAAATTAAAACGTTTCTAACACGATAAAATACATGTTAGAGTTGAGGTGGCATGAGTAAATGATTGCTAATGTTCTCCTGATGTAGGATAAAACTAAATGTTATCGTGTTTAGCTGACTTCAGGAGAACGTCTGAAGAGCAGGGTCCTCTCGGGGCAGGAGGCTGTGGTTGTGTGTGGTCGATAACTTCTCTGTAAATATCACACACACCATCATGTTCCACACCTTCACACAGTCTCATCACGGCTCTAAGCAAAGATTTGTTTCCATCTTGTAGTTGGCCATCAAACATCCCAAAGCAGAAGGTCTACTGCAAATACAGAGTGAGCAGCACTTTGGTTTTAATCTGCACACACTTCTTACTGGATTATGGATGATTTATGGGATTATTTTCACTGACTCTTTTTGTTGGGATGTTTCAGGATGAGGATGGAAGGCAGGTTTTTGTGGAGGTAGATGTCACGTTAAGACTAAAGACTGAGACAACCAGTTCAGTAGGGGTGTCGGCCCTGGTTTCCCTGCTGGACTGGTTCGATCTGAGACAGAAACTCATCATCATCATGCAGAGACCAGTTCCTGCTGAAGACCTTCTCAGCTACATAGAAATAAATGGAGGTCTCTTAAAGCAGACAAGGTCAACGTAAGCTGATGGGCGATCTTTGTCAATCATGGCGTTTTATTGTTTCATATCGATTCGTATTAACCTGAGTCAGAACAATAACAACACGTCACACCACCCCCTGGCCTCTTCAGCTGCCCAGGTTTAGATTTCTTTTTCAGATTAAATTAAGCAGCTGCTTGATGCCGCCGTGCATCTTCCATCGGGACATCAAGACTGAGAATATCTTGATCCAGATCGGCTCAGAAGTCCCAAGACGTCGCCTGATGGACTTTGGACTGAGCTGCATGGATGAAAATGGAACGAGCTACAATGTTTTCTGGTAAAATGAAGCATCAGATTATCATCTTCACCGTCCTCCTTCATGTCTTATTTTTATAAATCTTACAGGTATCTCTGCTCACTTCCCTCCTGAGAGGATGTTTTGGTCTATGTAGAGTGCTGACCCAACACCAGTGTGGCAGCTGGGAGTGGTTCTGTTCGAACTACTCAACAAAAGACCCTTCAGATCCACCAGATTCCTCAGAAGAAAGCTCAGGATCAGCAACGTTCTCTCCAAAAGTAAGACCAACACCTGTGCACATATCTCCCAGCAAATACTCCAACTAACAGAGTTCAGCACCCAGACTTCACTCCACTCGTGTTGCCAGTTGTTAAACAAGTTACAGTAGCCTCTCGCTACTTCGCGGTTTCTTTTTCATGGGCTCGCTCCATCGCGGTTTTACAAAGATTGGACATGACACACAATCGGCTGACTGATGGATGAGCTGCACAATCGGCATTAATTTTTTATTTAAAATAAATCATTTAAAATTATTTAGCACCTGCTGCACATTTGCCCAGAGCTGCAGGAATAACTTCCTCCTGCAGCTGATCAGCTGATCTCCGTGCAGAGTGGAGAAGTGGGAGTGGCCAGGAGCGCTTGCAGGTGGCAGAGAGTTGATTTCATGACATTCTGTGCTCTTTTAGAGCATTTAGAGTTTAGAAACAATGTTTAGAATATTGCAAGACTGTGAGAAGGGTTTAAAACGTATATATATATATATATATGCCTTATATATACTAAAATAAACTACAACTTACTACTTGGACTACTATCCCTACTTGCAGTTTTTCACTTATCACGGGGCTTCAGAGTACAGATCCCCCACGATAAACAAGGGACCACTACATATCCTAACTAGACCATTCCTTCTGGGTGTTTAATGAGTTTATAAATCTGTTATTTGTGCCTCAAGTTACACTGAATTACTGTAGGCCTAACCGTTCTCTTGTTTCACTCATGCCCTCCAGACTGCCGAGATTTCCCGAAGACGTATTTGAGCGTATCCGTGGCAGAGCGTCCCACCTTGGAAAAGCTTCAACATCATCCTTGGGTCATGTAAAACCCATGAAAACACCACTCATAGATTTGAAGCTTTATCAGAATCCATGGGCAGCACGGTGGAGCGGCTGTTAGCACTGTCGCCTCACAGCAAGAAGGTTTTTGGTCTGGATTTCAGCTGGGTCCTTTCTGGGTGGAGTTTGCATGTTCTCTCCGTGCATGTGTGGGTTTTCTCCAGGTACTCTGGTTTCCTCCCACAGACCAAAAACATGCATGTTAGACTGATTGGTAACTAAATTGTCTCTAGGCGTGAGTGAATGTTTGTCTCATTTGTCTCATGTGTCCCTGTGATGGACTGGAGACCTGTCCAGGGTGTCCCCCGCCTCTCACACAGTAACTGCTGGACATGGACACCTCTGTGACCTGAAAAGGAAGAAGCGGGTAAAAAAAAAAAATGGATGGATGAAAATCCTACTATATTTAAAGTTTATGATGTTTTTTGCATTTTTGATACAAAATAATCCCAAACAGCCTCTTACCCTGAAGAAAACTTAACTCCAACATTCAGTAACGTTCGTCTTTGTCTTCGTAGTTTTCAGATTGTTAAAGAAATCTTCAACAAATGTCCCTGAGCAGCGTCCTCATCCTGAACAACCTCAGTCATCCATTTCTCCAGTTAGTCAGATCTTCAAGGAAATCCTGACAACCTTTCTTCACTATTTTTTATCTTTTTTATTCTCTCTGTGTATTTATTTACACTTTATTCTGCTTTTTATTGACCAAGAGAAACACCTCTGGACTTCTGTGTTCGTCTGCATGTCTTTCCTGTCCTCTCAAACCCCAGCCGGTCAAGGCCGTCCATCCTGAGCCTGGTTCTGCTGGAGGTTACTTCCTGTTAAACAGCAGTTTTTCCTTTCCACTGTCGCCTTGTGCTTGTTCAGA